TCTTTATTTTTTATTGAGTTTGGTCACTTGATCGAGGAGGCTAACTTCTTAAATTTTGGGGTACTAAAAACACTCAAAGAGGCATTTGCAAAAGAGGAGTAAACATCCGATATCATTTTGGCGCATTTTTTCTTAAACTTTTGGGTGTGTGAGTTGTCATTTTCCAATGAAAAATTTATCAAAACACACCATGAGATATTACCATTTAACATTTTACACATTTACAACTATTCCAACTTGTGTCTTTTCATGGGTATTTTAAAATAAAATCGGGCCATTATCAGTATCATCATAGTCATTTCTCAATTAATTGGAGTCGGTTACACGAATTTTGATATGTCATTCTGCTCTATTAAAGGTCATTCACTCAATAAGACTATAAGTTTATATATATTTTTTGACTACTTTCAACTACATTCCTTTGGGCCTGCGTCTAGGTCTTTTTAGTCCTTTTATTTAAAGTTTTGAACTAACTCACGCCTCCTAATAGGTGTGAGCTCATTCCTATCTTATAAGTACTTTAATTAATTGCCCTTTTTCAATTTAGATTGGCCATCATAGTTTATTTATGATCATTTGGACACGTGTGTAATTTTCCCTTTTTCGACATCTTTTCTCAAGATGGATTAAATTTGCCTACGTCGAATCTTTAACTAATCACAACTAATGAAAAACTCAATGGGAAAAGGGCTGGAGTCGTGGTAATAGTACCCCTACACCCAAGTCACTATGTTGCGGTTTTTATTTCCACTTACGCTACCACTAACACCTTCAAATATATTTCATTCCTACCAACACCACCCACTAACACCTTCAAACCTGTCTTCCCATTGAATTACCCAAAAAAAAAAAAAACAACGCAATTCAATGAAAAAAAAAAGATCGTAATCCAACTCGCGATTCATTTTTTCACATCACGAGGTTGCCTTACAATTTTTTCATACAAGGCTGTTTTAGTAATTTTGGCGACTTTAAATGCCTTTACTTTAGAATATAAAGCTCATGTCTTTTAATCGATAACTACCCCCGCAAATGGTACAGAGGAAAGGGCTAAAATAGTACAGTTGTTGACGTGGCATATCCTTAATAGGTGTCTACAAGGATAAAACCGAAACAAAAGAGATATTTGTTTTAAAAAAGGGAAAAGTTTATATAGAGCCGAGGCTCTAAACCATCAAATTAGAGCCCACCCTAAAAATTTCACAATATGAGTTTGTTTTGATGTCAGAATATCCTCAAATTGATCATCTCGACATCAAAATATAAGAACATGAGAAAAATAAATAAATTTCAAGATTTGGAAATTGTGTATCTCATAATGTATTATTTGACCGTCAATTTTTAAGTTTTAACAGATCTGCTTGCTCTACACTATTTTTTAAGTTTTAGATTTGGGTGCGCTTTGTATAGAGCCTAAGCTCTAAACCATCAAATTAGAGCCTTCCTTAAACCAGTATCAAGAAATGTGGTTTCAATACTGAAGACTTTTGTGATAGCCTTAAAATATATTTTCATCTTTATTTATAAAGTTCAAAGCTTCAAAAATAGTGTAGATCGATAAATTTATAAAAACTTGAAAATTTTGAAAATTAATAGTTTAAAAATATATTACAAAATACCCTATTTCTAAAACTTGAAATCTATTTTTTTTTTTCGTGTTTATGCATTTTGATGCCAAAATGATTAACTTGACAATACCACTTGAAGATGTGCTTTATTTTGATCGTTTAACACCTCAGCTGTATACAAACCGCACCCTTTTAAAAATGTGCTCATTATTCTTGCATTCAAGAGCAGTCGGCTCCATGCACCACTCCTCGGTAGGAAAAGTGTATCGTCCGTAAGGGGACGCAATTCTGCATTAGCGTCCCCCGGACTCACTAAGCATCCATTTTCGTAATGTAAAAATATGGCGGTCCCACTCGCACCGTAAATTACGATTAATTTTTTAAAAAAATAAGTTTTTTGGGGAAAGTAAATTTTTTCAAAATATCACTTTTCGTCTTTTAAATATTATTTTTACATATTAATGACCCTTGTATTTAGAGATGGAACTTATTTTTCAAATTTATGATATACTCTCATCTATTCGATTTCAAATCCAATGACCTAAAGTGACTTTGACCTCATTATACAGAAAATAAAAGGTGTGGTTTCTATAAGATTGCAACCTTAAGCAATCCAATTAAGACGCACCTTTAAATTTTATTATAACATGTAATTTTGGGGTAAATAATTCTTAGGATTTTTTAAAAATTTATTTTCATATCTAATTATAAAATTTTAAAATCAAGTAGATCTATAAACATATGAAAATCTTGAAAATAAATGGTCTAAATAATATATTACAAGATGCACTATTTATGGGACTCATAATGTTTATATATATATATATATATATTCATACATCTCGATATCGACATGATCAATTAAACTGTTTTGCAACATTGAAACAACACTTTTTAGGTTTATATGTAATTCTACATTTCAAAGTTGCAGCTTTATATAATTTTTTCCCATAAGTAAATGGTCTCATAATATACAGAGATTATATATTTCTAAGAGATATATGTTCATCTACTCCATCTAGTAATATCCCACCTAGACTTAATTTTAGGACCCCGATTTTGGTATGCAACCTTTTCAACCCATAGATTGACCGCAACAAAAAAACTCCTAATTGTTTCTTCTAGCACTTGAAAAAAATAATGTCTTGAGATTCAATACTGACCTTCCAATTTTTAGATAGTTAGATCCGAAGTGTCAAGAGAAGTCAATTTTCAAATAATAATAGCATCTAATAATTCTTAAGTGCTTCACATAATTTTCAGATTGAAAAACCTTTCCCAGTAGATTTTCTATTATAGGGAGTAGGAGCAAGTGCACATATCTTCTTTAAGGACACGGTTTTTATGAGTCAATGTAGAATTGAGTCACCCCTTAAAACTTTATTTTTGAGATGGTTTTTTTGCTTTAATTTTTAAAGACATGTAATATCTATTA